TCATAAACAAATAATTACAAATCTACCTAATAGATAATAAATAACATTAATGCTTTAATTCAGTTACTATAATCATTCAACCTCCATCCCCTTTTTTATGGAATTGTTAAGAGAGAGAAATGAAAAAACATACATATAATAAATAACTAACTCATATAATAAAAACATGTATTGTAATTCACGCATCTGTCTAGATTGGTATATGTTGAGTTTATATTAGTATATGTGGGTATATGTTGAGTTTATGTTAGTATATGTTCAATATATGTTGCAATAAAAAATATGTCTTCCATAAAAAATCATGTCTCTAATTCAAGCGGCTGTCCATGTCGGTATATGTTGCGTTTATGTTAGTATATATTCAGTATATGTTGTAATGTAAAAAATGTCTTCCATAAAAAATTATACATTCCTCTTTTTATGAGTTTGATTAAGTGAGAAAAATGAAAAATAATAACTAAGTAATTTAATTCCTTAATTCGCGTAGCTTGTACATTTTTTAATAGAGAGAAATAAAAATATATATTTAATTCACGCAACTATGGTATATATTGCGTTTATGTTGGTATATATTCAGTATATGTTCCAATAAAAAACATTTTTTTAAAAAAAAAATATTTTTTTTATTTTACTTTTATACATAAAAGTACATATATAGTTTATGAGCATATTATAACAAGTTAATTATATTCCCTATAAAAAAAATCTTCTAATACACACAACATATACTGAACAGTTTACAAAAAAACCTTGTGTGCATATACATATAGCATATACTTCTGTGAATATTACTGCATGCCTATACACAACATATACTTACATATACTGAACATAAATGTGCCGTCTGAGAAATCTATAAATACTCCCGACTATAAACTGAAAATATAATGTCTATATATACTCAACATATACATGCCGTCTGAGAAAAAACACCCAAACCTCCTCATCGAAGGCAGATCGCCAGGCCATGCCCGCTTTGATCGAAAGAAACTCATAATCAAATTCAATTCCCGTGTCCGCTTCGATCAAAAGAAACTCAGAATCAATTTATTCAAGTTCCATGAGTGTAAAAGTAAACTTTGATCAAAAGACCTAGAACCTTTGCTTCAAGTGGTAATAACAAAAATATCATTCATTAATTCTCCAAAAAAAAACAAAACAAACCCAGAATTCGGACAAAATACATAACATAATAATAAAAAAAAAGAGCCACTTACCGGGCCCGAGTAGTCATCTACCATATCCACTACTTTAATATCCGTATGAAAACAATTTCTCTGAAAGGAAGAGAACGAGAATGGAGATAATAGTGATGCGCCGCCATTTGTCCCAACGCTTTGAAGTGTTGGACGCTGCCGAACGGCTGAAGGAATTTCGAGGGCTAAGGATTTTTTTTTTTCTAAAGGTCTTATCGAACGAAATAAAAAAAAAAGGAAAAAGGGAAAGAACTTTGATATATATATATATATATATTCTTACAACTGATAGAGAATGGGTAAAGTCTGATTTTAAATCGAGACTTAGAGGGGGAGGAGATAAAGATGAGGGGTGTTCTCTTTTTCTTGGTAACTTGGAGATGAAATTGCGTGGAGGAGGGGTTTAAATTGGCCGGATAGTTGCTGATAAATTGGGAATGAAACTTACCAAAAATCACGGAAGAAAAAAAATGTAAAATAATCCT